GTGCGAGGCTGCAGATCCTTCTTAAAACACCTTGAAAAGGGAGGTGGAGGTTACACCTGGGGAGCGCGGGTTCGGTTTCCTGCTTAACATACTGCTTGAGGATGAGGTGGATGGGCCCTAGTCTCTGGTTGCATGGTGATGTGTTCCCCCTTGGAAAACCATACGTGCTGGTGCCTGTGTGTATGGCCTGTCATGCCCATGTAAAAGCCGAGAGTCCAGACTCGGGAACACCCCAGGCAATTTGCAGGGGAGGAGGAGCTGGCTGTCAGACCCTGTATCACCTCTTCTGCAAGCCCAGGGGTGTCCATTGAGTTTGCACGCCTGAGCTCAGACAAGGCAGTTGAACAAGATTTAGAGGTTCTCAACAGACACCAGAGGAGAAGGACCCATGCTTTGCTCTGCCTTTCTTCAGCTGATGCCCTTTCCACTTCTCTGTCCATGTCGTGCAAGCAGCTGGGATCCAGTTTTCACCGAGCTGGATCTCTGCGTTTGCTGTTGGGGCAGAGGGTTTGGATGTGGGCATGCTGCACCCCCTTATCCTCCATTCCTATCTGGGATTTCAGCAGGATTTGCATCTTCCATCTTTCCCCCTTTTTCTCCTCCTCCAATGATTTTTTTTCATCCCTGAACAGAGGGCAGATTTAACCCTCTTCCTGGCATGGGTACCCGGGATACTTGGCTGATCTGTGAACAAACCCTTAAACTTTTGTGGGAAAAGGCGCTCTCCTGCTTGGCAGGGCACTCTTCTGAGAACTGAGCTGAAATGTTTCATGTGGTAAAATGAAGTTATTACAAAACCACAAACATTTCCAGTCCCAGTGTGTCTGAGGGTGCCTGGGTGAGTCAGGCTGTGCTGTGCATGGGTTTTTCCCATTCTCATTGTAAGCAGGTGTGTCAGGAGCTGCATGTTCGAGTGGAGCCAGCAGGTTTGGGGTGTGTGACCCCTGCGCTGGGGCAGACTGTGACTGATGCTCTTTCCTCATTTTTGTTACTACAGAACCTGAAGGCAAACAAAGAGGCTGAAAGTGATATGGCTTTTGTGAACGCAGCGTTGGAGGCACAAGGTATGATGCTCTTCCTCCTCCCGATGTGTAATGTATTGGCAAGCCATCAGGAGAGGACATGGTACAGATCTTCTGGGATTTGTGGGGGAATGCTTGAGGGTGGCATGGTGCTAACACACCTGGATTGAGTTTGCGATGGGAGTCATGCTGCCTGGTCCCCGTTATTCTTGTGTCAGTGACACTGGCTGTGCTCTTCCATTGTCCTTCCAGGGAAGAATACAGATAAAGGGGGCTTGGTCCTCACAGTCTTGTTTCACAAGTAGTTGTGGGGAGGCTGTTTTTAGGATGGCTGATGCGTGCTGTGTTTGCATCTGGAAGCCTGACCTAGCCTGCAGCTCCTGGCGGGTGCCCAGCCCTTCCTTGGACATGGCTGAGGCTCAAGTCCGGGCCCTTCCAGAGGAGGTAGGTGCAGGAGGTGAGGCTTTCCTCAGCCAGTGTTTGGCTGAAGGAGCTGAGGAAGGAGGTGAGCAGGGAAAGTATGGGAGATGGCTTGTTGAGGGAGGGATGGGCAGCGAGTTCTGGGCAGTGAATCTGTAGAGTCAAAGGAAGTGACACTCAAAAGTAAGTTTTGCGTCCCCTAGACCTCAGGCACTGGTCCTGAGCTGACGTACCCCAGCACAGCTGCATTTCCTTGGGAACACACATGGCTTCCCTTGGAGAGGAGCTGGTCTGTAGTGTCTGACTGCAGCAGGGTTAGGTGGGAAGAGAACTCTGGAGGCATCTGGGCTAGTCCTCCTCACAGCAGAGCTGACTTTCAAACTAGACCAAGTTGGTCAAGGCTCGTCCAGTCTAAGTTTGAGTATCTCCCAGGATGGAGACCCCACAGCTTCACTGGGCCTGTCCCAGAGCTGCAGTGCACTCAGGAGGAAGAATTTTCCTCCTTATGGCCAGTCGATTTTTCTCTTGTTGCAGCTTGTTCCCGTTGTATTTTGTCCTTTTGCTGTGTGTCTCTGTGAATAGCCTGCCGTTGCCAAAATGAAATTACAGGGCGACTGTACCTCTTCAGGGTCCCAGGTAGGCATGGGGCCTTAATCCCCCTTCTCTCCCAAAACTGAAGCAGGATTCAAGCGGTTTTTATACCTGTCTGCATCCACTACTGGGGCTCACATTTCAGACTTTGTGGAGAGGAGTTTGTTTCTTTTTGTGTGCATGGAAATAGGGCAGTGTTAATGTTCAAAAAAGAGTTTTTTAATTGTGTTCCATTTGCACTGTAAAAAAGATGGGATTATTTTAAGAAGCTGTTTGAATGCTTCAGGCGGTGTTCCTGCAGCTGGTGAGTTCCTCTTCTTTTGTACTCATTTTTTAGGAACTCAAAGATATATTCACTAAACTGGAAAAGGGTGGAGATGGAAGGATGAGCTTTGAGGAGTTGCACTTTGGCTTGTTCAGCCACATGACCACCTTTTTCTAAGGTATGTCAACATCTCTCAAGCAGCCAAGACTCAGCAATTCATGGGGCGAGCTGAAAGGCAGAAAGCTTTCTTTGTAAAAAGGATCCTGGTTCATGGCCTTGATCTGCAGCTCCTTGGAGGTCATTTCCTTAACTTTGGGTAAGGAACCATAAGTCATTGCCAGTTCCCTACACAGGACAGTTCACTTTTGATTGGTGTTTCTACAACGTCTTGCGGGGAATCCAGACACAAATCCAGCTGTCACACTTTGAAAGGTTTCTCTGTCCATTTCCCAACAAGAAAGGAGGCTAAAGAATGAGTTCTACTGAGAACAATTCGGGCCAAGATGTTTTGTTTCACAAGGGGGTGATTTAATAGACATTAGTTGGGCATCTGAGGGTAGTGACCTGGGGAGAGTTTTCCACTTGTCAGTCAGTTTTTGGGTATGGTCTGGACTTCAGGCACTGCATGGTGACCGAAAGGCTCCCCTGGGAGCTGCTTGAGTAGGAGTAAACCCTCTGCAGGTGGAGTGGCATGGTAATACAGAACAACAAAGGGCTGTTGAGCCTCAGCTTTTTACTGGAGGGAGAGGGATGCACATCCTAGCAGGGGGAAAGATCACCCCAATTCTGCCACTGGCTTCAGAAGTGCTGACATCTCTGCACCTCTTGCAACTCAGGTTGTCCCTTTTTTAGTGCATGGAGCAAGCGTCATCCGCATTTTCTTTGTTTGATGTAGAATACTTGTTTGGCCTTAGTGGTTTTAATTTCAAGGACTGGCAAGGCATCTGCAAATGCTTTTGAAGTAACTGCGCTTTAATGCACTAAGGTGGAAGTGAATTGCTGATTACCCTGACAGCCAGGACAGCTCCATCCAGGATCCTTAGGAAAATGGCTTCAAAAAAGAAAAAAGAAAAAAATAATTGTTTCAGGTTCTTTTGGCTTAAGACTTTGAGGTAGCAGTTCTCTGAAGGTAGGCTTCTTCCAAACTTGGTATGAAATCGGTGCTCTTGGAGATGTTACCAGTTCTGTGTCAGCTTTCTGGGTTCTGCTTTTTGGTTCAGCTTGGCTGAATCTCTTCACCTTTGAAGCTGACCTCAACCCAGTTTTAGCTTCTAGATCAAACAAAATGTTGGCTTGCAGTCCCCATCTGACAGTTTTCACAAGACCCTCTGGTGCTATATAACTTTCCATGTTGGTCTTTCTGTGGATACTGAGTTTTCATGGGTTAGCAGGGAGACCAAAGTGTATGCGTCTGTGCCTGCCAACATGCTCCTTGTGGCTGCTTTAAGGGCAGTGCAGGACGTCTCCTTCCTGGCAGCTTGGGGTTGTTTTTAGAACATTCTCCAATATTGATGGGGTCCCTGGAGTTTCCTTTCAGTATCGAAAGCTGTCAGTTTTTCTCTGCCAATTTTGCTCCACTGATGTGCCTCCGCTGCTTTTTTCCTCAGCATCAGAGTGCACAGGGAAGCAGTCCATCCGTCCAGCCAAGCTGTGTGGGCCCACATCTCTTCTCCAGCATCAGCAACAGCAATAGATTTGCCAAACCTGAATTTGTTATTGCCATTTGAGCCCTGGAAGAACTTAGAGGAGATCCTCAAGGTCTCTAGTGCTGCTTTGGCTGGTGGTGGTGGGTATGGTGAGCAGCAAAGCCTTTCAGCAAGTAGCTGTCCAGGGTGCAGTCAGGTTCATGATGGGGTGGCAGGGTTTGGCCACCCCAGAGCTAGGGAAAATCTGGGGTGGATGTGATCTAGGCCTATCTGTGAGATGTGGGGGGATCTCTGAAAGACTGGAGGGTGGTCAGATGGTGTAACAACAGAAGTCCTGTTGGCACTGTTAGAAGAGGGAGAAAGTGATTTCAGTCTGTGCTGTCTTTGCAGAGGCTGAGTAGCAGCACAGGGGTGCAGGTGAGCCTAGCAGAGCTGCCCACAGCTTTGGACAACACACTCATGGTCCCCAGGAGTGGGCTTCAGCGTGCAGCCGTCGCCTCCTATGGATACAAACTGCAGTGCCTCAGGTAAGGGTGCTGGTCCCTGTGAGGATGGCCCTTCTGTGGGGTGCGTGAGATGTCTCTTATTGTACTGCTCACTGTGCCTGCAGGATCCAGGTGAGGCAGATCGCCAGGGAGAGGGACAAGGCGAGGCTGGACTTGGAGAAAGTGGAGGGTCACTGCCTGCAGCTTGGCAGGGAGTTGGACGAGCAGTACGTCGCTCTCGAGCACACCCAGAGCAAGCTCAAGTAGGAGGGGTCCTTTTGGTGGGGCAGGGAAAATGGTTTTTCTGTGGGTGTCCACAGTATCTGCCTCCCGTCCCAGTCTCCCTTTATGAATCTCCCACTTGTTTTGCCATTGTGTCAGTGGCAGAGAAGCCCCTGAGGCCCCCTCACCCCACTACGGTCCCAGCATCTCTCTAACCAAGCTCTCATCTCCTGCTTTGTGCATGGTGAGAGGGGGTGTGTGGACCTTGTGGCCATCTAAGAACATGCTCCGGGTGCCCCAACCATGTTGCTTTTTCCCCCCAGGGATTTTCAGGCAGAAATAGAGGCAAAAGAGCTGCTTTTGCAGCAAGCAGTCAGTCACCAAGCGAAGCTGGAGGCTGATACACAGTTCCTCCAGGGCAAAGAGGCCAGCCTGCAAGGGAGACTGAACCATGTAATGAAGGTAAGTAAAACTGCCCTGGGTGAAACATCTTCACTTCTTCAGAGGAGGCAAAGCAGAGGTGGTGACAAAGATGGATGGTTTGTGTTGGTCTTGCTGGGAAGGACAGGAGTTTTATGCAGAAAAATCATCAGCCACATTCATACTATTGAATTAAACACTTGCCGTGACATTATTAAAGCCCCACATTGTCTGCTGAGAGTGGTTTGGCCCTTGGTAACACCTGAATACCTGATGGCTGAGGCTAAATTTGTGCCAGGGACCATGCCAAAAGCAGAGACGATGGTGTCTGCGTGCCTGGGATTTTCCCAGTGCTGTTCAGTGTAGAAGTACAGATGGAGATAGCTCAGGACTTGCTGCCTTTGTTGGCTGTGAGGGAAACCATAGTTTTGTGAAACAGAGGTAGAGATGAGCCTGTGGGGCTGACTAGCTCTTATTCTGCAAAACGCACTCCTAAGCCTGTCCTTTGGAGAGACGAGCCAAACCCCAGCCCACATGCTGTGTATCAGCAATGTGCTGTCCAAAGCGGGGTCTTCTGGCACCTATGCTGTGTTTGGCATGCTGATGTGCCAGTTGTTTTACAGCTTGCTGCTGAAGGCCAGTGGCTGATGAACCCATCCTGCGATGTGAGGACCCGCAACATCAAGAGAATCTTCTCCCTTTTGTCTGCAGGAGAACACACAGCTGCAAAACAAGGTCACGGAGATGGCTGAGAAACTGGTGGCCTCTGAGAAGCTGGTGTTGGAGCTGCAGAAAGAACTCGACTGCGTTGTGAAGGACAAGGTAGCCTTCCTCTGTTGCAGTTAAATAAGAACTTTTCAGGAACTCGTCAAAAGATTGACCCTTTTCTATGAAATCTTGCATATTTTGCGTCAGTTGTTATGGTCTCCCACTCTTTGAACTCTCCTGCACGTTAATGACAACCTGAAAAGAAAAAATATTGGCTTTTAATTTAAGCCTTTTCAAGTTTGGAAAAAAAAAGATGAGGAAAGTTTGCAATTGTAGAAAATTCTACAAACCTGCAGCCTTCAAGTGAGAACTTTAGAGTTTGGTTTCCAGAAAAGAAAAGCATTCTTTTTCACAAGTATCGAAGTAAAGGGTTAGTTTTCGTGTCTTCCACTCCAGTGAGGCACCTGGTAAAATGGATCTGGGGAAAGAAATGAGTCTGTGATCTTGTTAGCCAGTTTGGGAAAGCTAGCCCACCCATAGTTTGGTGTCTCTCGTGCATGAAGAAAAATGTTTTTCCTCCTCTTTCTGCATCTGACCTATCCCACAGGTGTCAATAGGAACCCTTCCATTGAATCTATGGGTGTAGCACCATGTCTCCAGTGATTTAGTAGAGATTTTGGCTCTCCATTTGGAGAGGTGATAATTTCCTTGATGAGAAGTGTTTCCCTGTGCTTGTGCAGCTGGGCCAGGTGAAGCCCCACAGCCCAGAGCTCCTGAACCGGAGTGAGTGCTTTGCAGAGATTGTCCTGGAATACGAGCGGCAGTGCCAGGTACGGGTGGGCAGCTCTCCAGCAATGCTGTCATGAAAGTACAGCTCTCATTGGCACATCTATTGGGCACTTTGGCCTGGGGGAGAGGAAGGAGGCAGCCCTGATCAGGGTGCAGAGGGGGGATCCCTCTTGCCTTGCTCACAGTCCTTTGGCAGGAGGCAGGACACAGCTGTGCCCCCAGTAAAGCAGCCTGTCTCCTTGCTCCTGCAGCCTTCCATGGGTTGGTTCCCTTGCTGGGATACTGGCAGGGGGGAGTAGGGGTGGGTTGTATATTCCTCCATTCCTGCCACCCTGTAGGCATGGGCTATTTTGTTTGGGAGCCATGTAGCTCTGTGTATAAGGACAGACCACCCTTGGCTCTGTTGCATTTCTTTTTGAATGCAAGGAGAAAGCTTTTCTCCTTTTTTGCAAAGCATGCTATCAGCTAAATTCTTCTATCTTTTTGTTTTTCCCTTCCTCCTTCTTACCCCCACTTTAACAACCCCTACAAAACTTGTTGCTGCTGGACTCTGCTAGAGAGTCAAGGTGAGCCTGTCCAGGTACCTGATGTGCGTGTGGTCCAGGCATTGCTGTTGTGCGTGTTGTACCTCCTGCAGGGTGCTGTGCTCCTGCCCAGAGCTTTGGGCTTTCTGGGATGTGAGCACAGCCTCCGTTTCCCTTGTATCGTTTTTAAGTGACTCGTGTATCTTGCATGTTGTGACTTGCTGGGTGCTCCGTGCATTGGCTCCTGAGTCCAGTGCTTATTGCATTGGCCATTTGTTCCCAAGTGCTATGTGTGAGTGGGGAACACCACTGAGTAGAGATGGTGACTTATAAAATCCCCCTAGCACGGGGATGAAATCTGTGTTTCCAGCAAAGCTGTTTCATGGATGCAGCAGGCTCTTGAAGCTGTAATTAAAGGCAAACATGCTGGAGCACTATCCAGCGCAGCATTGCTCCAGGTGGCACCAGAGGGTTGAAGATTGTCAGTGCTGCAATTTTTCCTCCCATTGAGCAGCCCCAGAGTTGTCCATGAGAATGTTGATGGATGGAGAGGTTCAGCCTTTAGCCTTCATCTGCCCCTGGGAGGGCACCCCTTTGGGTTCACCCTTTACCCTTGTTGAATGCTGCCAGACCTCCCCTCCTCTGCTCTCCTCTTTAGAATGGAGATTAAACAAACTGGGTTTGCATTTGTCTACATCTGCTCAATTATATTTATTAATTGGGATCTTTGGAAGTATCCTAGTTCTTAGTCTCTTGCAGCCCATCAGTTTCCTGGGTAGCAGCACATGGGATATAATTTGGTGTCTGCTCAAAGTGGACAGTCTGGAGGGAGGCAGGATGCCTTGTACAGTGTTGCTTCCAGTATGAGATGGAGCATGTGAAGTGAAACAAGCAGTTGCCCAGCTCCAGACACCTGCATGGAAGTGGCTTATTGCACTGGTGTGGTGGCTTATAGCATGGTGTTCAGTGGTGGGACTCCTTGCTGCAGGCTGATGTTGGCACTGAGGTGGGATAAATTCCTGTGTTGGCCTCTGAGGGTGTCTGTGCTAAGCAGGCAGCAGGACTTGCCTCTTGCTGTCCTTCCCATGGGATCAGCACCTTCTTGCCTTGCTTTATTCCTTCCACAACCTGGAAATGTTTCCTTCCAGAGCCCTGTGGGACTTGCTTCATTGTAAATCCCACTGTTGCCTTGACTGCATGCAGTAGTGCTTGTTGGCTAGCCCAGATGCCCACAGGAATGTCTTGAGGATGTACATGCAAACCTCTGGGCTGTGTGAGCGATCGTACTGAGATTACAGTGTTTCTTGTGTGTTGGTTGCTAGCAATGGCTGTGTTTAGGTCAGGAGGGTCTCTGGAGGACCAACCCTCCAAGATGGCTGCAAAAACCCGTGGTATTGTGTGCTTTTCAGGGGCAGTTGCTTGTGGCTCTTTGTGCTTTACAGTGTCCAGTGATGGTGGTCGCGGTAATCTGGGCTTGCATTTCTTCTCTGGCTCTTCCAAAATCTCTCATCTCTGTCTGTTTGGGAAGGAAGAAAACCTCCTGCCTTTATTCTCTGACTGTGCTGGTGAGGGGGAAGCTGCTCTTCATGCTGCAAGAGACCCTGAGTACACATGGCTGCTGGGAGCCGTGGGCACTCGGCCCCCCGCAGCCCTGGGGATTTTCGTAGCTGAGTCATGACCAGTCTCTGCTTCAGGTGCTGTGGGACCAGAATGGAGTGCTACAAAGGGAGCTGGAAAGGCTGCGTCTCCAGCTACGGGAGAGCAGGGCTGAGAGAGGGCCGCCAGCAGGAGGTAAAATACAGGAGGGTTTGGTGCCTCTCCCATCTTCTCAGCAAGAGCAAGGTTCCCTGTGGATTGGAGTTTCCATGGGAGCCTGGGGTGGCTTGTTGTGTCTGAGCTGCTGCTGCCAGTTCTGGTACTGGGCAGCCATGGCAGGGAAGAAGGGGGTGATGGGTGGTGAGGAGGAGGGAGTCGGAGGGAAGAAGGCTATTCCAGCTCAAAAGCTGGTGATGGTAACCTGTGGTCTAGGTAAGTGGGAGTGAACAGGCAGATTTTCACTGTTGAGGATGTTGAGGAAACAATGTAATAAAGAGGAAGTAGCCCTAGACTGTGGGTTGGGAGATTCAGGTTGAGCATGAGGGAAAAACTTCTGGCCCAGAGGGGTGATGCAGCCGTGGGACTGGTTGCCAGATAGATGGGGCTTCTCCGTCTTTCGGGGTTGTATAGACTTGACTGGATGAAGCTGCAGCCAGCCTGATCAGGACAGCCAGGTCTGTCCTGTCTTGTAGGCCTGTCCTCACAGGGTTTCTCTCTGTCAGTGTGCCGCTCTCCCAGCCCTCTGGTTTCCACTTCTCCGTGCACAGAGACATCACTCTCAATGGAGCAGCTCCAAGAGCAGCTGCGGGACCTGAAGGTGCAGCTGGAAACCAAGGTGAGAGGTGTGGGAGGAGATGTCCTGACCTCTTGGCACAACTGCTTGGTAAGCACCCTGCTACAGCATGGCTGATGGGGCATCTATGCCAGGAGGGCTACTGGAGAGTTCAGGCTGGGGAGCAGAGTGGTACCTCATCTCTCTGCTGGCTTTATTGCATGTGCTTCCCCAGCCCATCTTAGCTGGTAGGAAGGTTTGGAGCCCTCGCTGGCTGGCAAAGGCTTTGTGGAAATCTGTGTCACCTTGCAAAATGTTTGTGTGGGTCTTGCCCCTTATGGGGAACCAGAGATTAACTCTACTCAGTGTTGCTGTTGCAGTAAAACCAGTGACAGGATCAAGAGGAGAGGCAGACAGGTGTCTCCTGAGGGCATGGGGAGGGGGGGGTATCAGAGCCCTGTCTCCCTGGGCTTGCAGCACACTTTTAACCTGCTTGCCCTAAGGTGACAGTGTGAGCCCAGCCCTCCCTTTAGACAACAATAAGTGCTCCTGTGAGAGGTCTCAGTTTCCACCTTCACTCCTTTTGCTGTTGAACTGAGAGGTTGGGGATGCTTGCTGCGTTTCCATTGCAGCACTGCAAGAGTAAATCCACAGAGGTGATGAACAGTTCAAGGAGCACAAAGCTGCTTGCAGATCTTCTGCCTGCTTCACAGTCCTGCCTTTGTGCTCTTCAAATCCTGGAGTTTCTAGTATTTACAGGGGAGTAATGGGGAGCAGCAGCTACTCACCACCACATCTTGGACAAGGGACCACTCTGCGGGGTGGAGGAAGGATATGAAGAGCAGTGGCAGATGATGCCCTGGCCTCTCCCTTCTCCTCTCTGGTATCCCTTGCAAACAAGGAGGAAGGGGAGAACCACGCTGCTTGCTGGGAAGAGCTGGGACCCACTGATACCTGCTTGTTAGAGGCTGCTGCATGAGACTGATTATTGCCTTAAGTTCAGTAGGGAACAGAACTGCCTGAAGAGTGTCCCCTGTTGAGAGAGACCAATAGATTGATCTGAGTCAGAGCTATTGGAGGAGAGGGGAGCTCTTGGGAGCATGGCGCTAATATCTAAATCCTGTCTCCTCCCAACAGATAAACTATTACGAGGAGGAAATCGGGTTAATGAGGAAAAACTTTGAGAGAGAGAGGAAGGACAGTGAGGAAAGCTTCAAGGCTGAGATGCGCAAGATGGAAGACCAGAAAAGAGACCTGGAAGAAACAGTTGCAAAGTACTGGGCTGTAACTGATAGCCTGAAAGAGCAAAAATGTGTGTGGAGCCTGGAGCTGGAGGAGAGGTTTGAGGTGGAGCAGGCCAGGGTGGGACAACAGCACACCAAAGACATTTACCATCCAGGGCAGCAGCTGGACCGGGAGGGAGAAGAGCTGAGGACGCAGCGCAGGGACAGAGAGAGACTGAGGTCTGGCACCATTCTCTTTGTGGGGCTAAGCGGGAGACTAGGGGTGCATGCCCTGCTCATAGGAGAGTAGGCTGGGCTGATTTCCCATGAGGCTGGAGAGCTGTTTTAATTTGGAAGAAAATCTGTGCAGTATTGCAGGGCTGCAGCTGTTTGAAGTAAGACATCTAAACTCCCCTTACATGAGTGCTTTTATTTCAGGACTTGAAGTTTCCCTGCATGTTCTACAAGCTTGTGTCAGAGGCAGTGCCCAGCAAAGAGTGTATCTCAAAACAGTGAGAGAAATAAGAGAGCTTTTGTCAGAGTTTTCTTGTTATCTCTCTCTTTCTTGGTCCTTCAGCAAACCTGCCTCTACTTGCTAGATCATCACAACCTGCTGTCTCAAAAGCAGCAAAAAATGGCTTGAATTTCTCTATATAGCCAAAACAGACTGGCTTGTGGGAGGGTAAGGTTGTCAATAAATGGCTGTTCATCTTCCCTTCCTGTGCTTGTGGTGCCAGTTCTGCAACCTCCCCAGAGGCCAAGAATGGCCTTGCAGAGGAGACTGGAGAGGAATTAGACAGGAAACTGTGGCCTGTCCATGCCTGCCCCCTCCTGCTTGCCAGCAGACCCCACCACTGCCCCCACACTTTCCTCTTGCCTCTTCCCTGCTGTGCCTCCCTTCAGGAGCAAAGTCCTCTTCGGCAATATGCAAGCAGGGGATTTTGCTAGGTCATTATCCCTGTTTCAGGGCTGAGGAGCTGAGATACAGAATAAGTGTGGGAGAAAGGATGCGACTTGGCTGAAGTCTGTGGCAGAGATGGGGAACAAGCCCAGGTAACAGGAATACAAGGCATTTGAGCTGTGTTGCCACCCTCTCTGGTGGATGGTGAGAGGGACTGGCTGTAGTGGGGAGCTTTCAGAGTTGTTGGAAAACATCTGATGGATGAGTTTTGAGAAGTGCAAGATGGTGTGGGAGCTTTCTGTAACATTTAAGGAATTGCCTTGACTTTGCAACTTAAAGAAAACCACATTGCTTCTCCAGCAAAAATACATTCTGAGGCTGACTGAGCTTTTCAAGCTGTGTTATCAAACCCAGGTCAGCAAAATGGTTTTTATCTTTAGGAAAGATGCAGAGGTTGAGCATAATTGAGAGCTGTCATGGAGTGAATGCTAGCATGAGGACAGCTGTAAGGCTTTGTTGCAGCAACATTGGTGTGAGAGGAGATGATTTCCCAATGATAAAGGCTTCAAGGGGACACCTTCAAGACCAGCATGCCCAGGAGAGGCATCAGTGGAAGCGGAAGGAAAAGGACATGGTCTCTCTGTGGAAGAAGGGGCAGCTAAAGTTGGAAGAGAAGGTTAATGAGGAACAAGTCAAGATGTGTGAGATGCTGTCTGTTGAGAAGAAAAAGAGAGAAAAAGCACCAGGATGAAATGGGAATAATGCAGAGATCATAGGGCTGAGGGGTCTGGTGTTGGAAGGGACAAGGTGTCTGGAGAGCTGCCCTCTGGGGGAAAGGAGCAGGTCCCCAAGACTCAGATGAGCAGGTAGATCAGAATCTCCTGTTGCGACCTCAGCACTGAAAGAACAGAGAAGAACTGAAAAATTGTATGATGGATGGACCAGTGCAGACATCTGTTGCAGTGAATGGCCTGCTCAATCTAGAAGCTCGAGCCAAAGCTGAAAGCATTTGTCAAGGAGAAATTAAGTCTCGATAGACAAGGGGATGTGCTTGGGAAAGAGGCAGAGAGAGCAAAGTTAAATGTCTGCCTTTACACAGCAGGCACAGCAGCATGTGAGGACATAGACAGACTTGATCTGGAGGGCAAGAAGAGGGAAAAAAAAGCCCTGGGAGACAGAGTGGCACAGCAGCATAGGAGGAAACATGACATTCAGGCTGTCAAAGTGGGGCTGGAAAGGGATAGGAACAGGGTGAAACTGGAGCTGATGCAGCTCAAAGATGTCGTGCACTGGCTGGAAAATGAACCCAGCACTCAAAAGAGTGGCAGGTTTGAGCGCAAACTACTTTGTAGAACTAACACAGAGCTGCTGCTGCTGCAAAAAAAGCAGATGCCTTGTGAAACACAAGGCAGCTTAACAACATGATGGTCCAAGACACTCTAACAGCAGCTATGTTCTCTCTTGACGCTCTATAACAGCAGCTGTGTTCTGTCTTGCTGTCCCCTGCATGTCTTTTACTAACCGTGGGAGTGTGGTCAGAGCGCTGGGATGTGCTCACGTGGCTCTGGCTGACTATGCACTTGTCTCCTCTGCCTTGTACAGCTGTATGTGGGTGTTGGAGATGCCACAAGAAGCACAGCATGTGAATCCTGATGTAAAACTGACTCAGAAAGCAGCTGCTGTGAGGAGCGTCCCGTCAAGCAGGGGGAGCAAATGCCACACAGCCCATGCACTAGTCGTCTTGCTTGCTTGCTTGGGGAAGAGAGGAAGAACTTCCCCACTCAGCTACTCTGCCTCCCACATGCAGTGCCACAAACTGCAATGCTGTCCTCCCTGCCAAGATGGACAGTCTGTTCCCTTGAGCTCTCCCCTGAGGAATTTGGGTCCTGTATGGACCTGGGGTTCAGCAGTAGCTATCAGATAGGACTGTCCGTTTAATACAGGACTAAGCTTCCTTCCCACAAGTGCCTGTATTCGTGGCCTCATGGGAGACTGGGAGTACCAGTAAGAGTGGAAGGATAATGAGGCAGAGAGGCTACCTTGGATTTGGGGTCATAGCTATTGTGTCCAGCACTGTAAAATCACAGACGCCTCACAAGCAAGCTGACTTCTCCAGACATGGCTCTATTGCAGTTGAGGGGTTGGGACCGCCACCTGGTTATCCTGTAATGAAGTCTTGGTATGTCTTGATGAGCCAAATCACTTTGTTTCCACGCCTTGGCAGGCCCTCAAAATAATTTCAGCTAGCTGGAGGCCATACAAATTCAGGGTCTGATGCTATTTGTCCTTATTCCCCTTTATTTCCCTTCCCTTGAAGACCTGCTCCTTCTCTACCAATGTCTCTTGATTGTCCCCACATGTTTTGCATGAGTTATTGCATGGTTGTTTCTCAGATTTCTTTAGTTCTTGCTGTTCTTGCAAACCAAATGACAATAGAGCAAGGAGCCAGCGTAGAACGCCAAGACCAAACTGGGCTTTTGCGTGGTTTTCTCACTCTGCTGTCTCTCCCTGCAGGGGAGAGCTCTGCCAGTTGCGGGAGGAGAACAGCTTGCTGAAAAGTCAACTTGGGAGACTCCAGGAAGAGCTGAGGCTAGCAAAGGAGAGGGGCAGCAGCCATGATGTGTAAGACAGGAGCCAGCTGTGAGAGGCTGGCAAATGGGTGGATAGCTAATGCTTGTAAAAGGAACAGCCACTCAGGTGTATTTACCAGATTTCAGCTGGCTCACCCTGCCTTTTGTTTTCTCATTTCTGAGCAAGCCAGCACACTCACACCCTTTGCTCCACGCAAAAGCAGCTAGTGCTGGGATGGGTTTGGCCAGCCAAAGGCTTGGGCAGGCCAGAGCACAGGGTCCAGAGCTGGGTTTGTGGAAGGCTGTGGGGATGCGTGTGCTGAGGCAGGAAAGGATGGGCTTCTTCACTACACTAACCTTTTGGCCAGTGGCCTGCTGCTGCCTTGGGAAGCTTCAGATAGGTGCTAGGGTCATGCACTGAGCCATAAATCCAAGCAGAGACAGGTTTCTGGTGCGGATGGTCCCAAGAGTCTGCTAAGCTGGCTCTCCCACTGTTCTTCATCCCCTGATTTTTAGGCTTCTGACAATGTTGCAGGACTTTGGATGTCCCCAGCTGTCTACCCTGGGCTGGGCTGAGTCACCTCTTGGGGCAGAGACACCTGACCCATTCCTGAATCAATTCAGGACCATATCCGTTTTGGCCTGGTTTTGCTTCCTGTTGCAGGCCAAAACCAGATGTGTGGCTCCCCAAAATGGGGCCATTCTCTGGGGGCCATGGTTTGCTGCTCTCTGGCCTGAAGCTGATCATATCCCTCTCCCCGACAGGAAAAACGTGAGCAAGTTGGGCAGAGAGAAGGTGGAGGAGCTGGCTGAAATAGCAGAGTTAACAGCATCGGTAAGAAGCCGTTAACACTGACAGGCTCTTGGCTGAAGGATTTAGGAGGACAAAGACTGCATGTTCTTATAGAGGAGAACAGGAATGTTTGTTTCAAACAGTCAAACCCAGACTTGCTTTGAAGAACCAGCTTTGTTTTACAGCTTGTCAAGTAGGGAAAATTTGTGTGACAAAAGCTAGTGCAGGTCTTATAGAAGGGAAGGTGTTACTACAAAATCTCTAATGAGGTTGACTTTACCTACTTACACTCTTTCTCCCAGAGATTTTGCTAACTCCCAGTTTCAAACCCACATGGTCACAAGCCCTTAGACATGTGTGCACCAAGGCCTGGCCAGGATTGCTTGTGTGCAACATGGACGAGGGTTGCAGGTTTTTAGTTCCTCACCCTGTCTCTGGGATTCCTTATGATGGGAACCATAACCTATTTTTTGGACATGTCTTTTGTACTCTTCAGGGCCAGCAGACACAGCAAGGTGGCCTTTGCTGGCCCTTGCTGGTTTCAGCTTCCATTAAACTTCAGCCACAAACCTGCTGCCCATTATCTGCTTTTACTTCTTTGGAGGAAAGCTGTGTTGGTTGCCCATTTTCCTGGGAGGCTAGCAGAAGAATGGGATGCGGAGTGTGTTGTCACCCTGCTGTTAGATGGAGGCTTTCTGCGGACAAGTTATCTGTGCTGTGGCCTGGTCAGAGCACGGGCCAGAAACTGCACCTTGCTCAGCATTACATGCTGGGGATAGTGTCCTAGGAGCAATATCTGGGGGATGGTGCCCTTTAGTGTCGATGCAGGCTGCTCTTGTAGCCCTTACTCTGCTCTTTTGTCTGGTACTTTCACACATGCACATGGACACGTTTCCATTCATACTGTATTCTTACCAATCTTAGTGTTTCTGTTACACATCTGTACAGTTGCCCCCCCTGCCACCAGTGACCTCCTCCAGGGCTATCATCTGTGCAGGTTTTCTTACCCAGGAATGCTGCGCTTGAACTTGGCCACCGGGCTTTGTTCAGGCTCGGAAATGAGGGCACTTGTCCTTAGTGCCTGCAAGGCCCTGCAGTGACAGCGGTGTTCCTGAGTGGGAATCCCGCAGGGACAGTGTGGGACAGGTTCAGTCTCTGTTGTCTCTCTTCCCACCAATTGTTTTTTTTCTCAACCTTTTCCAGAGTGAGAAGAGCAAGGGGGATGTCTCCCACCTGAATGTCAAGATGCATCACCTGGGCTGTGAACTCACTGAGCACAAGGCCAGTCATGGTGCTGGCCCTGGCACTGTCCAGCTGCAGAGCCAGAGGCTTGCGGAAGCTGAGCGGCTACGAGGAGCAGAGATGGCCGCAAGGCTGGAGCACCACCAGCAACATGCAGCGTGTTGGATGGAGACGGAGCTGCTCCAACAGCAGCTCAGGGCCTCACAGGAGAAGGTGGGTGTCATTCAGTTGGTGGCAGGGTGGCAGGCTGCTGAGTGGTCCCTATGATGTTGGTATTGCCCTGCTTGGGGCTGTATCAGACACCTTCCCCAGGCAGAAAAGACTGTCCTCTTCCTCTTTGTGGGGGACAGAGGACTCGCCCTCCAGCTCAGACATGTCTGAAGCCAGTTCAGGTGCAGCTTGGGACAGGTCCTTGCTCGCAGCTGCCCCTGCAGTGGCCCCTCTGTCCTTGTCCTGTGCAGGCTGGCTGGGCAGACATGGAGGCTGAGTGGAGGTGGCTCACACAGGAGTGCTAGGAGCTGTGGTTCCCCATGGCTCAGCTGACAGAGGGAGCTACAGGAGTGGCAGGATCAGGTAGGAGCTGGGCAGGGATGACAGGGGCCGGGCAGGCCATGTCTGAGGGGAGGGAAATGAGGTGATCAGAGCAGGGGAACAAGGACCACTAGGATAGAGGAAAGCCAAGGTGAGAAACCTCCAAATGTTAATATCCCTCTCCTGCCTTCTACCCTGGGGACAGACTCGGGGACTGGCTTTCCAGAGTACAGCTTGCCTATGCCAGCCACCCCTAGGTTGCCCTAGGGCAAAGCTGGACCAGACCTGCTTCCAAGAACTAGCCCTTTGCTGGTAGCAGGAAGCAGAGGAGATGTAGTACAGGCAGGGACTGAGGCCCAGCTTGCCTGGGATGTATCTAAGAACAAACCCAGGTGAGCAGACCCTCTGCCTCCTGCCATTGCAGCTCTTGGTGCTAGGACTCCCTCCCAGAGGATTCCTCCAGCAACTGCTGCTCCTCACTGCTCAGCAAGGGGAGCATCTCTCAGCAAGAGGTCCCTGTTTCTCCTCCTGCAGCTCTAGGTGCTCTCCATCCCCAGCTTTGTAGACTGCCCAGCAAGCACCACTCCCGTGGTCCTGCTGCTCTGCTGTGGCCGTTGCTGCTATGAGAGCTGAGGCTGGGACTGAGGGTGCTTCCTAACCTCTCCCCTCATCTGCAGCACACCCTGGGCCTGTCCCATTGCTGGCACAAGGCTGTAACCAGCTATTTGCCTTTCTGTGTTACAGCTCTTAGAAGCCAAAGCAAACCTGAGCCTGGCCCAGACTCGGCATGCTCTGCAGTTGCAGCAGGCCAAGGCCCAGATGAACAATGTGGTGCCAAAGAAACAGTTTGAGCAGCTGCAAACCAGCTTGAGAGAGGAACAGTGCAAGGCTCAGCAGCTCCAGGAAAACCTCCACCAGCAGGCTGAGCAGACATGCAGGCAGCTGGTCAGGATCCAGGTAAGCAGGGAACTGCGGAAACTCAGTCAAGGGTACCGGGGAGGGAACACTGCCAGCTGGGAAGGCAGCTGTGTTCAAAGCCACCAGAGGTTTGGGTGGAAGATGCTATATATCAAGACCCCACATGGACAAATGCACTCGATCTTCAAATTCAGCTGCAATTTTCATTCCTCATGAACCCAGTCACTGCCCTGCACTCAAACAGGAGCCCTCCACACTCTAATCCACCTACCCCAGACCAGATACCTTGTGCCTAGAGGAGCAGGAGTTATCCAGGGAGACACTCTGTGTTGGCTCAGGCTGGGGAAAAAAAGTTTGAGCCCTCTACGTGGAGATGTAGCCTGCACAGAGTGGGGTGGTTTTATCTCTAGGGGACTGGGCAACAAGGTGTTGGGTTGTTGTGAGTTTGTCCTTGTTTTCAGGACACTGATTCAGTTGGAACTAACCTGGGGAAGGATGGAGCAAATTATAACCTAAGGAATTAAAATGAGCAGACACAAAAACTGCATCCAAGGAAACTGTCTCTCCCTGGGGTTTTCTGGATGCAGCTGAGAGAGGGGAGGCCATTGGCTTGTTTTTATAGAAAACATTGCTGGAAAATCTGTGCCTTGTCTTAAGACCCGTTGGTGCTGACCTAGGGAAGGTTGTACTGCTCTAGACACTTGTCCCACTGCTCTTTGCATCCTGTACCACCTCCACTGATTCGCCCACGCTCTCCTTCAGGGAGTGTGAAGGTCTGTGAGCAGGGCCTTGGGGAAATGCATGGTCCAGAATTGCCAGGGGCCAGGTGAGTTCTGGGACAACACAACACTGGGCTTTGTTGCCCATTGCAGGAAGAACACGAGCGTCTGCTGCAGGCAGCCATGGAGCAGGCAGAGGGGCTGGAACACAATCTGAGAAGTGCGGAAGCTGTGCTGGCAGAGAGGGCGGCTCAACTCAAAGATGCCCAGGTGAGTGCAAGAGGGGTTAGTGCTGTGTGTCCCTGCCTGGCTGGTACCCCTGCGTGGGAATGCTGAACTTTTAAGCTTCCTGTCCCTGCTGTAGGCCCAAATCTCCAGGAACAAACTGCTGATTGAAGACCTCCGTGAGGAGAACAGGGGGGTTGCAATGGCCCTACAGGTGGCTGAGCTGAAGCAGAAGAGCACTGAGGAGAAGAACCAGCTGTTGGAGGAGCAAACCTCAGCTCTGAAGCAGCTTATCGGAAAAATCACGCCAGCATCTCTGAGTGGGTGATGGGGCACCCGGTGTGGTAGCCCTGCCCCTGGTCCTGGCTGGGGTTTGTCAGATGCAGAAGGGGAGGTGTGGCTGGGTTGGGAAATCAGCCTTGTCCTCCCTGGTCTTGCCAGGATTTTCCTGGGTAGAAAGTAGAAAATGGAGAAACCAGACAGTCCTTTAAGGAAATTGGTCCTGTGGTGGCTGAATTTTCCTGCTGAACACACCAGCTTTGGTGCCTTTCTCGGTGGCTGAGTATGCTGTTGCAAGTCAGGTCTGTCTCAGGGTAGCCATCCCACAGGAGCTGCCTGCACTCTGGCAGCATGTTTGCTGGTGGTGTGGATGCTCCCTCTCTGTGGAGGGTTGCTGTTGGGGCCACGCTGTCACAGCTGGAAAGCCAGGGCAGGAGGGCTTGCAGGTTCCTGCACCTGGCTCACTCTAAGCAGGAAAGCTGTGTTGTGGCATTAAAATGTTTGCAGTATTACAGCACCTCCTGCCATCTCCAGTCTGCTCTGTATTTCAGTAGCTTCCCCCAACTGTTGCTGAACTTTTATTCCCTACAGCTCCTCTTGGGCTCTAGGAGATTCTAGCCCTCCTAAGGCCTGAGCCTAGGATCCAAACCAACATCCTGCTGGACTGTTGCCTCTGTGCTGAGCAGGACAGAGGGGCTGGGGGAAGAACCCTTTCAGTTTGAGCCTCCAAGGCTTGGGGCAGGGTTGGTGACCCCTACTCAGCACTGCACTTCTTCAAAGATGTGGTAAGTGAACTGTGTCATCTTGCCTTCCTTGACAGCTTGCCATCTTGTTGGCCTTCACACACTGGCAGTGAGTACTGCTCTTGCCAAAATAAGTTGTCTAAAAGGCCACAAAGCCAGGCATTCACATCAGCAAATACCAAATTTATTGATCTGCCCAGGGTGTTACCCTCTGCATGGAGGATGCATCATTGTCACGGTGCCCCTGCCTTGCTCTGTGCAGAGCAGAGCGTATTTACATGGGGGCTGTGGTTGCCACTAGCTGTGAAAGGACTTCTAGAATTTTGGAGGCTATGGAGACTACTGTACAAGAGAGACTAGACAAGTCTGACTGGATCAGGGTAGCAAAGCAGAGGCTGGACAAAGTCAATACAAAGAAGGGGGCTTAAAAGTAGCTCAAGCTGTTGTTGGTTCAAGAACAAAAGGGAATAAATTGGCTGTGAGCTGAAACTCAGCCGCTGCCTTTAAGTCCCAGCCTGCCAGGGTAGAGGGGTTCCCCTGCCCTGGGACAGTGCCCGGAGATGGCTGGAGGCTGTGACTGAGGCGGCCACCTTGGTCTAGGTGTGCTTTTTCTGCCCAGGTGGATGACAGCTGAGACTCCTCTTTCTTTGCCTTGGGGGCAGCCCTGATTACAAGGGCCGTGAGGGAAGCTGGGCTATTACAAGGAGGGAAGCACCACAGAGGGTGCAGGCTAGCTCAGGGTGGTTCCTTGGCTGGGGCTGGGAGAGCAGTGCAGTAACACCCCAGGCATTTATCCTGTTCCTGTATTCTTCCCTAAGTATTTGCTTTTTGGTTCCTGTCAGATGTGGGCTAGGCAAACCTCTAGTCTTACCTAGGGCTTATGTTTTAGAAGTGTTACCTCTCAGCTGCTACTTGAGTGAGCAGCTCCATTAGGAAGACCAGACAGGGAGAGCAGCTCTTCAGCCTTGCTCTGGTTTTATGCTAACTGGAATCTTTAAAACCCTCTGCTCCCTTTCCTGTCCCTGGGACCTGCCAGACCAGTGCTCTGGTGACGGAGACTCTTCCTAGAGGGACAGAGGCACAGCCCAAGCATGCTGGGATAAACCTTGGCCAGACCCATGACCCAGACTGCAGTGCTCATTCACTCAGCACCTTAAGGAACAACATTTATAGGCTTCTGATGGGAGACAAAGCTTCATGTCTAATCCTAGAAAGAAGCTTGTGCAGCCTCCTCTGACACTTGGAGAAGTAGCTCCACTGAGACACCTAAATAACCAGTTGAGCATCACCCTGCAGGGTCAAGGTGGGTTGGGCCAGAGAGCCAGGTCAGAGTGTTTAACAAACACAGCATTACCTCTTGAAAAACACTAAATTGAAGGCCGAAGCAGTTCTTTATTTTGCAACCGTGGAGCTCTCTTGGCTTCCAGAGCTTAGCCAGTTGCTGTCTTACTCCCACATGCCCAGTGTGAACAAAGAACTGCTCCAAACACAAATAACCTGCTTGTAGCTGTGGAGCTTGGATAACACCACTGCTCCCCCACCCACCCCCACCCCCCACTATGCTGGCTTCCCAGGATCGCTACATTACCAGTATGCAACCCTTTGGTCATGAAAAGCTGGCCAATGTGGTCTGCATACTTTATAAACTCAGGGCTGGTCTTCATGTCAGGTATCAAAGGCCGTTGAGAGGAGTGGCACTGCAGAAATGCTGAGCTGTCTGAAGTCCTGCACGCACCAGAGTTCATTCCGTGTTGTGGACAGGCCACCAAGCAAGGGTTGTCCCTCCTGTCCTGCACGCTTAAGACAGAATGTGCTCGAGGACTCCTTGTCTGATTAACTGCTCGCATTTCCAGCGGGGTAAAAAGTGCTGCACAGAAACACAGACAAACCTTCCTTCAAACCCAGGCAGACTGGATTTGTTGCTGCACACAACCAGCTCTGTGGTGCTGTATGCCTGCTGCATTGTGGTACCAGATCAGGCAGAGCTGAACCGCAGTCCTGGGCCACGCAGACAGCTTGCAGCATGTGCAAGGAGCCACATGTGCAGGAACTGTGACATGCTGCGAAGCTGGGATAAGCAGGGGATGTCAAGAGAGTGAAAGGGAAGGAAGAGAATGGACCACACTCTCCTGTCATGGGTACCTGGCTATTCTTCTTCAACAGGACGGTGGTACCATCATCGATCTCAAATTCTCCATAGTCTCTTAAACACCGCACCTGCAAAGCAGAAATGCAGCTCTCAGATCACAAGATCTCCCATAGAAAACACTAGACATCACTGCTGGCTTACAACACGTGCCCCAGAACTGTGAGCATGGACACATTCCTACCCGCCTGCTGGAGCCTCAATACAGAGCAGACCTGGAAATGCAGAACTGGACTGATCCCATAGTCTGCAGACTCCACCAGACATTCTCTTCCTGTGTCTGCCTGGAGCAAGAAGCGTCAGCGACCAGCCCAGCCTAGCCCTCCACAGAGGCCAGAGGAAGAGCCGTACAAGAGACGGGGTCTGGGGAACAGCAGCAGCATTTCCAGGAGAACCTCCCCACACACATACCAGAAAATGCCAATCCATTAACAGTGAAACTGTCTTAAGGAGCAAGTTGATTGTCGCTATGTGTTCTTTCAAAGAGAGTATCAGAACAGAGCACTTCAGCTACTGACTCCAATTTCTCACATGCTCTTGCTTTGTTGTATCAATTGTGTAAAAAGATTTATAGTCTCATCTATCAGAGTCCATTTAAAATAACAACAAAGAAAACTAGTTAACACTCCTTAACATGGCAACAAGGTTTCTAGTTGATCAATGCTGCAAAAACTTCCCACTGGGATTCAGACCACTCGCCCCACCACACCAATACCCTGTGAACTAGAAATGCCATCTTTCAACATACTTTGAGCCCTCAGTAGAAGAGGGAGTAAAACGCTGGCAGGCAGAGTGTAAAGAGTAAAATGTAGAAGCTTGTGGAAGCTTTGGTGCTCTCAAAGGCTTTGCTTAATGACCTTCTGGCTTGGGACAGGGGTGAATTTCTCTAAAAAAAGATGGTTGGGCAAAATGTTCACAGACCACAGACAGAAACCACCAATCTTGCACTTACTTCGATGTACAGGCTTTTAGGAGGTTTTATGTCCTGTGTAAGGTCCAGCCCCTCCTCTCCTCCTACTGACCTCATGTAGGTAGCCAGAGACTTTTTGTACCGATTGAACCACTCCACCTGCGGACATTAACAGTGATCCCTCAGGCAAAGCCAAACAGCTAATGCTGAAAGACAGGTCCCTGATGAGTGAGATCTAGTGTATTTGTGCTGTCAGACCACCGTTCTCAAGCGTGTTCATGCCAGCCAAAGGTGAACTCAAGCTCTTCTAAAGGGAAAAACTGCCCCAGAGGCAGAGCAAACTGGATTCAGGGTAGAACACATGCTGCTAAAGTTAGCAGCTCTGTATGTTGGTCTAGAGATGGGATTTGAGAGCGGCATGTGAAGACCTAGTTCTGCCAGCTGCAAGACTGATCTAGTGAAGACCACCTGATCCTTCAAAGTGCCGAGCATTACCTGCACTCCGTATCCATTTGGGATTGTACCCCCAGACAATGAATAAACAAATGAGTATTTACAGAAAGGCACGTTAAGCGTCATGTTTATAGTGGGGGAAGAGAAGTCCAGCCTATTTTGATTCTACTAAATACATAATCCATCAGGAGGAGTAAGTGGAAAGAGGGGAACAGTTTAAGACAAGGCTGACTCACTTCCTCAGCTGACATGTGAAACTGGATGGTGTTTGGCAGGACGCTGCCATACTCCCACCTTAGTGCTCGGATCCGCAGCAACCGGTCGTACCTGGGGGAAGAAACAAGGCGTAAAACCAGCGTCTTTGCTGAGGTGAGTGCTGGCAACATCCCTGGGTGATGCTGATGCCCCAGTCTGCCCTCAACACAGAGGGTGAAAACTTGGGTCGTTCCACCCGCCTGCCTTCAACGGATGTGATTTTTGGCCTACCCAGTGATTAAAACTTTTAAGAGCAGGAGTAAACGGGACCTTCTCTTTGTGCCGGCGTTTGGTGGTACCGGGACTGAGCACAAAGGGAGCCGGCCCCGCAGCTGCACCCCGCGGAGGTAACCGCTCACCCCCGCCCAGAGTCCCAACACCCATCGCTCGGGGACACCCCCCCCCCTCTTTTGAGGCTGCGCCGATGAACCCACGCTCCATAACCCCTCCGGGCCGCGGCACCCCCCGCCCCACTCACAGGTAGGCCAGGACGCAGCGCTGGTTTCGGAGCAGGCAGCAGTGGCGAAACCGGATGAGGAAAATCAGGTCGGTCCGTCCCGACTTCGCTTCGGACCTGGAGGAAGAAGAGAAGGAGGAGGGTGGGGGGGGGAACCGCCCGGGCTCTGCGGGCCCGGTACGGGCGCGACACTCACACGTCCGCCTGATTCCGCTCGTAGAGCGCCCGCATCTCCTCCAGTGCCTGCCGCAGCCCCTCCGCCTGCAACACCGGACACAGTCAGAGCGAGCCAGGGCCCGTCCCGTCCCGTCCCGGTCCGGTCCGTCCCCGCT